TGTTTTGATGCACTTATGAAGGATAGATTCATGAATAAGATCAAGCTTGCCAAGTTCTCCAATGAATTTGATGTTCCCCAACATCTTGATCTTAGCAATGGCTCTCTGTTCCTCCTCCTCGGGAAGGAGGGGATTTTCACGCTTATCATAGACTAGGAAAAAAAAATGGCAAAAATTAAAGTCAACATTCAGAAATAAGCTGAAAATATGTAGTACTACTTAGTATAAAATATAAAATCTCACCATCAACATTTCTGGTTCGGTTTTCAAATTCATCTTGTAATTTGGAAATTAGGAGGCGTCTGAATGTCTGTTTGCAAACAAAAGACACTTATCAAGTTTTATTAATTCTTTCAGCTTAAAAATAAATAAACAATACAGTATAGGTACAAAAATTAATAAAATGAGCAGGGCAGCACCTGTGGCTCAGTGAGTAGGGCACTGTCCCCATACACTGAGGGTGGCGGGTTAGAACCTGGCCCTGGCCAAACTGCAATAAAAAAAAAAAGCCACACCTTGTGGTGGGCACCTGTAGTCCCAGCTCCTCAGGAGGCTGAGGCAAGAGAATCACCTAAGTCCAAGAGCTGGAGGTTGCTTTGAGCTGTGACGCCACAGCACCCTACTAAGAGCGACAAAGTGAGACTCTGTCTCTAAAAAAATAAAACAAGCAAATAAAAACTACCACTTACTGTGCTTTGTTTCTGTCCTGGTTGACCCTCTGCTGCTGGGCCATCAAAGTTTGGTGCATCTTCTGCCAATCGCAGACATAGCTGAGCATACAATGAGCTATACTTTGGCTCTTCTAGGGCTTTGTCCACAATCTACAGAAAAATGTCATTTTTAAAACTAAACATGAAAATATTTTCAAAATACCCTTTATTACTACTTTCTTGTCTTAATTTAAGGATCTTAATTTCATGAGAAATTTCTTAACAACTCTGACAATTTCTCTTTAAAAGAGAGGCTAAAAACACCTCTCTTTAGCTGGGCATTGTGACGGGCGCCTGTGGTCCCAGCTACTTGGGAGGCCGAGGCAAAAGAAGCGCTTTTTAAGGCCAGGAGTTGCAGGTTGCTGTAAGCTGTGACACCACAGCACTCTACCAAGGGTGACAAAGCGAGACTCTGTCTCAAAAAAACAAAACAAAACAACCCCCCCCCCCCAATAAAGTTTACTGTGTAAAGTAATTTAGATAGAGCAGGTAAGTGCATAGCACACAGACTGGAAAAATACAACCACTTAATGTTAGCTGTTATGATATACCAAAAATGTCCAGCTATACAGAACTCATCTAGTCAACCAACATCCCTTCCCTCAGGTGTTAGAAAACACCTCAGATTCCAAAACTTTAAAAAGACACAAGAGTCTTTTATCAAATATCACAAAATTCCTTAGTAAACCAAAATACAATGTTTTACACAAAAGGAAAACATTTCGCTAACAGGATCTGCTAAACTCCTCAAGTATATCATGAACCAAAATTCACCTCTTAAATCTGATGCTACTGAAAGTTAATGGTTGTTTTTAATCACAATCAGTACTCCGTGTACACACACACACACACACACAAGTATCTAGCTCACATCTCAGAGTTTTAAACAATAATGGCAGTTTAAAAAAACAAACACTAAGTTTGTTTGTACCCCCCTTTTCAGTCAGGCCAACATTTAGAACTTACCAGCAGTATGACCCCTTTAAGGATGAGTTTAGACTCTACACCCACATTGAGGAGCTCAAGGCATAGCTTGTCAAACTTTTCAGGAGTAAGCTTATTTAGTATTCTAGGGAAAAGAAATCACATTTTAAGTGTTAGACAACACACAAGATTATTGAGTTGAAAAACAGCTCTTAAATTATGTTGATTTTTCTTCTACTTGCTACCTTTATTGTCAATACATGTCTTCTTACTCAGCTAATAGAATGTTGAAACAAACCTATTATTTTGATGGTAACACCTATTTCAGATTGAGGCTACTAAGCCATTCTGACAAGAAACCTTTCTCTTTTTCAAAGCTCAGTGTCAGACCATTATATCCATGCTTCACTGGGTTAGATATCACATCAAAGGTAGTGCCAGCGTAAGGGGCTTGTGGTTGATAACTCAATAGCTGAAAGCAAATGTAAAGTTCAAAAATCCTGATGTGTTGCTCTTGAGTTTAAAGTAATTCTCACAGACTAGAGAAAGACAGCTAGTCCATAATTCTTCCCTCCTTTTAGTAAAACAGCCCTTAACTTACCCTCTTACTTTCCTGAAGATTGCATCATGTCGTTCTTTTTCATTTGCGGAGTTGTTTGCTGCGGAGTTGTCATCTCGTCTAGTGCTTCGTGCAGGAATCCATTTCTGAGCGTTTTGCCCTGGGGTTTTCCCCAGGAACTCGCTGATTATAAATAATAGTGTGCATCAGAATCACCTGAAGGGCTTGCTAAAACAGACTGTTGGGTCCACCCCCAGTTTCTGCTTTAGTAGGTTTGGGGTGGGGCCTGAAAATTTGCATTTCTAGTAAATATTCCTAGGTAAGGCCAATACTGTGAATCCAGGAACCACATCAACACTTTCTAATGTTATGACCATGCTTATACATGCTACTTTACTAATGGCTGATTTCAGAAGTAACATCAGTAAAAATAACCCAAAGGGGGAAAAAAATAGCAACTTGAGGGTCTTAACTCACATAAGATGATATAATAAGGAATAACAAAGAGTTGATAGGAATATCTAGCAGAAACCATGCCCCATAAGACTAAGATTCCTGATATCTACTGCAGTAACTGTCCGTTGTTAATGGAAAAAACTTTTAACTTAAATCTACCATTCACAGAGCTCACTGTTTTTACACTTTTACCATACCTGTTGCCAGCAGTCTTGGGATAGTGCTGAGGTGCACCCCTACTTCCTCCTCCGCCCGAAGAAGCACTATTTAAATTTAAAAAAAATTTGTTTTTACTATACACCAATTAAGCCTCACTTAAAAATAAAGAGTTTACTGTGTATTTTAAATACAACACCACAAATGAAGACTGCTCTTAGGCCTAAAGGAAAGCCAAACAAGTGATTACATTTATTTGTCAGGGGGCAATTAAGACTGCCAGTGAAAGAAAAACTTTTAAGAACTTTAAAAATCAAAATTGCAGCCCACTAAGATTTGGTGTGATGACTCTTGAATTTTAGGAGAACCCTTTTCAAAAAGATCCTCCAGATTAAATTTACAAATACCTGAAACGAGAAGCACCCCCTTCTGCAATCGCACTCTCCACTTTGGCGGCTTGACAACGAAGAATCTTCAAAAGAATAATATTAATGGATGGGGTGGGGAGGGGAGGGTATGGAAGAAATGAAAAACCTAGAATGAGAAAGAGCACCAAAATTAGATACTGCTACCATACACATCTATAAACCTTCATTCGATTACAATTTAGATCAGACCCTGGTGCTGCAGCTGACTGAACTTTCACTGCATTGCAGATCTCTTAAGATAAAACAAGAATGTACTCAAAAGACAGATGATAAGATTTCATTTTGTTTAGCCACCTGGAAATTCCTGGGTATTCAAGGATCCAAGCCTTCACAGAAAGGCAGGCACATCTTAGACTGCTAAGAGCAAATCTTCCGAAAAAACAACACTCCACCGCCTTTAAAACTGAGCACTGAGATCAATAACAGAAAAATCTAACTCTGTCGACGCGGCAGTATTAGGTGGAAAATCTACCGTAATTTTTACTGCCTCTACAACGAGCCAGAGACTGGATCAGGTCGCCCTGAAGACAGACGGTTCGGGGGTCTCCCACCGCCCAGCCTTTCAACCCCTCTCCAGAGAACTTGTGGAGACACGCAGGACAGGGCACGGGACGCAGGGCGGGCACCGCAGCAGGACCAGGGCGCAACATGGCAGCACGAACCGCCGCCCGAGCTTCCCTTCCCGGGAACAAAAGAGCAGCGGGCCGCTCCCAGCCGGGCTCGGTTAGGGAAGCGCCCCCGACAGCCGCCCCACGAGGCCCGGGTCCCTCGGCAGAGGCCGCCCCCGCCAGCCCAGCGCCGGCTCTTTGTTCTCCAGGCAGGAAGGCGGCCTCCGGCCCAGCCGCCGCCTCCGAGCGGCCCCCTCCCACCCATAAATCCCCCCGGACCCGACAGCGGCCGCCGGGCCGACCACAGGGGCAGCGCCGCCGCCGGCCCCACACACCTCCTCCTCGCAGGGAGGCCGGGCTCCGGGACTCCTGCGCTGCGCGGGTCCCGCGCCAACGGCCGGGCCCTCCCCGCCGGCCCGCGTCCCTCCCGCCGCCGCGCGCGCGGCCCCCGCCACGCTCCTCCGCCGTTCGGGCACACCCGCGCCTCGGTCAGCCGCGGCCTCGGCCCCGCGGAGGGCGGCCGCCCGGCCAAGACGGGACGGCGGCCGGGCCGAGGCCGCGGATCTTCTCCTCCGTGAGCTACCGGAAGGGAGAACAAAGGCCAAGACCAACCAGGTGCCTGAGTGCAGAGGAAACGCTAACAAGGGTCGCCCCACCCGGCTTCCCCTGCGGCCGCCATTTTGTACCGCTCGAGAAGAAGCGGCCAGGAACGGCGGCCATTTTAGAGCGCTCTGCTCGGCGGCAGCGGCGGCGGCGGCGGCGGCGGCGGCGTCTCCACTCACCTTCACCGAGAACTCAGCAGCTGCCACCGCAGCTGCCTCCTCAGGATCCGGTCGTCGGGGACGGGGAAGGGAAGGGAAGGGGGAACGGAAAACAAAAAAGGGGGAGGGAAGGGGGAGGAAGGAGTCGGGAACGGCTTGAAACTCTCAGCTCAAAGGAGTCGCTGCTGCAGCCACCACCCGGTAACCGCTGCCACCTCCATAGAGCTCCGACTCGCTGCTGGCGCTAAGGCGTGTCTGAAGCCGAACTTATCACTCTGGGGCAGCCGAACTCACCAGAGCCGCCCCGAATGGCTCCTGGGCCGCCCAATCAGCAGCCTGGCTGCCATCCGCCACCAATCCGCGCAGGGCGGCGGGGAGGAGCCACAGGGCCAAGCTCGGTTGCAGCGCAGCCCCGCCGCAGTGCGCAAAGCCATATTCGCGAAGGCTCTGAGGCCAAGCTAGTGGCGTAAGGGGAGCCGAGCGCTGTCAGGCCGCCGGCCGCTGGCGTAAAGTCGGAGAGCCCCTCTGCGTCTGCGTTGGTGTGGCTGCTTCGTCTTCCTCCACAGTCTCTTTGTTCCCTGACTCCGTACTCCGTGCTGGAGTCGTACAGGCCTCTTTTCCCTCAACCTCGTTTTCTCACCAGGAATTTGGGAAGAAAACGATCCCTTTCCCCCCTGTATCCGACGCCCGTCCGCGGCGTGTCAGAGCATTGATTTTCCCGGCGCCCGGAGGAGCTGTGATTGCCGGGCGCGCGCCTGGCCACCCTGGGACTGGCCTGTCGGGCTGAGGCCCGGCGCCCCCCGGGCGCAGCACCGGGAATCACTGCCTGGGTCCGGTTCTTGGTTGGCTTCGGCAGCGTGAGGGAACCGGTACCTAAGGACTGAGGGGCGGACTCGCGCCCCGAACGAAAAAGAAGCTTCCTTCAGCTCCTTATTGACCCACCCCCTGCCGAGTGAATGAGACAGGGATGGAAGGAAGGGGGGTAGTGTCTGTGTGTGCACCCCACACGAGAAGCGGTTTTCCCTGCCGGAGTGTCTGGCCAGCGGTCACCGAGGAATGCCCAGAATACGCCTGACTTTGGAAGAAGCGTCTGCAGAGCGCGGGCGTTTGGTGGATTTTAAATTGTTAGCTGCTGGTTTTTATTCTTTGTTTTTTTTTAAAGAGCACGTTGAGCCTTTTCAGCTGTGTATTTTCATTTTATGTAAGATCCACTAAAGGAAGTAGGGTTAAGATTTTCGAAGCCGCAAGTCGGGCTATTTATACTTCTCAGGTAATATTTTAAAGGATAGGGACTGTGTTCCATCTTTTGCGACATTTTAGCTATACGAAAATGGAGTCATGTTTCCATATACTTAACAGAAATGTCCCCATCTCCATTTTGAGCATACCGTTCTTGATACAGCGTGTCATCAAGAGCCAGAAAGTGTGTGTGTGTTTTAGCATGCATGACTTTTGAAGAAAGAGATCAATAAAGAGGAGGGTTTTCAAACACCGGAACTTAGGTTTGACATGTCAAAACAGCTCTTAGTGTTGAAAGCGCCTAATCCTTAAGAAAATTTTCGGGAAAGTTACATGATTTTTTTCAGGACATTTAAATCTGATGATAGAAGGATGTGGTGTGACTTTGAAGGTTTCTAACACAATTCCAGCATCTTTGGGTCTTTGGGTACACCTTATTATTACTACTATTATTGCTATTAAATCAATTTCACTTGAACTTTATTTTTAAGAGCTAGAAAAAACACTCGGGTTTGTTTTTTTTTTTAAGGAAACGATTACTTTTGGGAAAGGTACAAATTTTGTTTCAAATTCTAGATGTTTCACTGCAATTTTGGGACCCTTCTAGCTTCAAAACACCAGAATAACATTCATTTCTTATTTTTAAAAAAATGCTTTAATGTACAGTATGTGATATTTTTACCTAACTGGTTTACATTCTCCATGTTGATAATGCGTACCTTAGTCTGATAGGAAGAGTAGTGTTCAAAAACACTGTTCTAGACAAGGTGGCATGAGGGAGGAAATAAAAAGAATCAAAAACAATGTTAAAACCCTCTAATCTGGCTCCGCGCCTGTGGCTCAAGCGGCTAAGGCGCCAGCCACATACACCTAAGGTGGCGGGTTCGAATCCTCAGCCCGGGCCCACCAAACAACAATGATGGCTGCAACCAAAAAATGGCCGGGCGTTGTGGCGGGAGCCTGTGGTCCCAGCTACTTGGGAGGCTGAGGCAGGAGACTCGCTTGAGCTCAGGAGTTGGAGGTTGCTGTGAGTAGTGAAGCCATGGCACTCTACCCAGGGGGACAGCTTGAGGCTCTGTCTCAAAAAAAAATAGCTGGGCGCTAGGTGTTGTGGCGGGCGCCTGTAGTCCCAGTTACTTGGGAGGCTGAGGTTGCTGTGAGCTATGACACCACAGCATTCTATCTAGGGCAACAAAGTAAGGCTCTATTTAAAAAATTGTTTTTTAATTAGTTGAATGCAAATATTAGGAAATTTTACATACAAATCCAAATTTACAACTTTCCATGAAAAATTTAAAAATATGGCAATAATGGGCCTCAAATTCTTGTAAGGCAACATTCTGATACAGCTGAGTAGGACTGCTTCCTCTAGGTGTTTTCATTTCTCTACAGTTAATTTACTTTTTTATATTCCTATATGGCCTCTACAGCCATTTTGCTGTTTAAAATTATTTATTCAAATTCAACAGATTTAGTACCTAACTGATCATCTTCCTATTATGACAAAAAGGAGTTAGACCAGGTGAATTCAAATATCTTCTCTACTATTATATTGTGAAACTTTGGGCAAGTTATTTAATTGCTCTCTCTTTGGTTTCTAAATCTGTAAAATGAGGATGATAACCGTATAAGAGTTGTAAAGACTGAATGAGATAAGCATATAGAATAGAGGTTGACACAGTAGTTTTCCATATTATCACCAATATTGATATACCACTTATTTCACAATTATTTGTTTTTTTCTAAAGATCTCACTATTCCTCAATGCTAGAAACTTGACTGTACATTTTCTCTTTGCTTTTTATCAGGTTTAATATTTAATCCTGGGGTTATTTCTCTCTAAACGTTTCCTGCATGCATATTCCCTGTTAACATCATTACATCTATGCTAATCTAGGCCTTAGTATGGTTTTCTTCTGAATTACTGAAAAATTAGAGATGGTCTTATAGTTTCTTCCCTCTAGACTGTATCTTCCTGTTAGGTTTGCTTAAAACACTTTAAAACATATTACCATGCTTAAGAATTTTAGTATTTGACTGTTTTCTACATCAGCTGATCTTTTTTTTTTTTTTTGAGACAGGAGCCTCAAGCTGTCCCGCTGGGTAAAGTGCCATGGCATCTCAGCTCACAGCAACCTCCCACTCCTGGGCTCAAGCGAGTCTCCTGCCTCAGCCTCCCAAGTAGCTGGGACACAGGCATCCGCCACAACGCCTGGCTATTTTTTGGTTGCAGCCGTCATTGTTGTTTGGCGGGCCCTATTTAAAAACCTCAGTATAGGGTGGTGCCTATGGCTCAGTGAGTAGGATGCCAGCCCCATATACCAAGGGTGGAAGGTTCAAACCTTGCCCAGGCCAAACTGCAACAACAACAAAATAGCTGGGCATTGTGATGGGTGCCTGTAGTCCCAGCTACTTGGAAGGCTTAAGCAAGAGAATTGCTTGAGCCCAAGAATTGGAGGATGTTGTGAGCTATAATGCCACAGCACTCTACTGAGGGCAACCAAGTGAAACTGTCTCAAAATAAAGAAAAAAGATCTAAGAATGAATAATAGATTTTTGGTCTTAGCAAATGGAGGAGAAACTATTTCAAACATGTTTAATTTGAAATGCCTATTAGATATCCAAGGGGAAATTTCAGTAGGCAACTCAATAAAGACCATATATATCTATAGCTTGCATGGAAAGGGGGAAGATGGATCAGAGATGGAGATTTGACCAACACCAGTGTTCTATAGTACATATGACAAAAATCTGATGGTCTTTGTCCACTTGGTAGAAAAAAAGTTAATATATCAATAGCTAGGCAAGAGGTTTGGAGTAATCTTTGTTTTCAAGGAGTTCACAATCTAGACAAAGATAAATATACCAATTATATACAAGGGTATGCAGAGAAGAATAGAAACAAAGTTAAATCGAACCACTAAGAAAAAAATGCTGTGGCTCAGTGCCTGTGGCTCAAGTGGCTAAGGCGCCAGCCATATACACCTAAGGTGGCGGGCCAAAACAACAATGATGGCTGCAACCAAAAAATAGCTGAGTGCTGTGGCGGGCACCTGTGGTCCCAGCTACTTGGGAGGCTGAGGCAGGAGACTCACTTGAGCCCAGGAGTTGGAGGTTGCTGTGAGCTGTGATGCCACTGCACTCTACCCAGGGGAACAGCTTGAGGCTCTGTCTCAAAAAAAAAAAAAAAAATGCTGTAAGGTTTCATAGGGAAAATAACAGGAGATGAGGCTCTGGACATCCTTCCTTGAGCACCAGAATGATGATTTAGAACTTGACTACACAGGCAAAGAAAGTTCTTTAGCTGATCAGAACTTAGATCAGTTTTTGTTTAAAGTTTTAATTGATCAGAGTGCTGTTTTAAGGAAATTAACCTTGTAGCTTGCGTAGAATTGAAAGGCAAACCTGGAGATAGGAAGATCAGTTAGAAGGCTATAAAGGGGCCAGGCATGGGATATCTCACACTTATAATCTCAGCACTTTAGGAGGCTGAGGTGGGTGAATTGCTTGAGCTCAAGAGTTGAAGATCAGCCTTAGCAAGAGACCCAGTATCTACTAAAAAGTAGAAAAAAAACTACTTAGGTGTTGTAGCAGGCCAGCTAGTCTCAGCTACTTGGGAGGCTGAGCCAAGAAGATCTCTTGAGCCCAAGAGTTTGAGGTTGCTGTGAGCTATGATGACAGATCACTCTACCCAGGGCATGGAGTGAGACTTGGACACACACACACACACACACAAAATGAAGGCTATGTAATCCCTCTTTTTTTTTTGGAGACAGAGTCTCACTATGTCACCCTTGGCAGAGTGCCATGGCATCATAGCTCACAGCAATCTCAAACTCCTGGGCTTAAGCAATTCTCTTGCCTCAACCTCCCAAGTAGCTGGAACTACAGGCTCCTGCCACAACACCTAGCTATTTTTTTGTTGCAGTTGTCATTGTTGTATAGCAGGTCCAAGCCAGGCTGGAAACTGCCACCCTTGGTGTACGTGGCTGGTGCCCTACCCACTACAGGCACCGCCCCATATCATCCCTTTTTAAATGGGGCTTCCCTTCCAAAATCACAAGATTCTTACGGTGGAGTATTCCTCTTGCATTACCCGTAGAGTTCTTTACACACACAGGAACTGAGAAAATATTTGTGCATATTTTTTTGCTGACATTATTCATTCGTTTTCTTCAGGATTTCCTATCTCAATTGGCTTCTTCATCAATTCATCTGGGTTCTCTGCCTCTGCTTGGCCTTTAAATATTGAAGCACCACCATGGATTTATTCTGGGCCTTATTCTTTTCTCTCTGAATAGCTTTCTCCTAGGTAATTCATTCATCCTGTGACTTTAAATACTATTTATATTATGATAATTTCCAAATTTATATCTCCATTTCTGATTTACCCTTCATGCAAGATATAGATGCATATCATCTATATTGAGTTCGTTACTGAAATTTCCCCTTGGATACCTAATAGGCATTTCAAATTTAACATGTTTGAAATAGGTTTTCCTCCATTGTTCACCATCTGCCTGTTGCTAAGGCTCCAAACTTATGAATCATCCTTAGCTCTTCTGTCTTTAATTTTCTATATCCAATCTATCAGAAGTTCTAACGGCTCTATCTCTACAATATATCTTATATTGGTCTATTTCTCTTGATCTACACTGATATCACCTTAATCTAACCCATTATCTCTAGACTGAGTTACTGAGCCTTCTATAACTGGTCCCTCAACTTCATCTCTTGCTCTTTGATATGTTTCTCCTCAGAAGCCAGTCACCTTTAAAAATATAAATCAGGCGGGCGTGGTGGTATATGCCTATAGTCCAGCTACTCAGGAAGTAGAACTAGAAGGATTGCTTAAGACCAGGTGTTTGAGGTTGCAGTGAGCTATGATGACACCACTCCAGTCCAGCCTGGGCAACACAGCAAGACTCTGTCTCAAAAACAATAAAAACAACTCAAATATATAAATCATTGCTAGCTGTTCCTTGGGATGGTAAAATAAATAAAATGGAAAGATAGGACTCAGACAATGTTATTCCCATGCTTAAAACCACCTAATCATGGACATACATTACATCCACAATAAGATCCAAACTCCTTATCATGACATACATGATCCTACATGATTTGACCCTTGAATATTATCACTCTGACCTCATCTTCCACCATTGTCCCCTTGACTTCTGTACTTCAATCAACTGGCCTCTTTTTATTTATTCTTCAAGCATGTTAAGCTTATGTTAAAGTTTTCTATTCCTCATATGGGTAAAAACTACGGCGACTTCTTTTTCAAGTTCCACTGCCCAAAACTCTTATCTCAGTTTCTTAACATGGATGCCTTTTAAAAATTAACTTAGATTTCAGCTTGAATGATCCCCTCTTTAGAAAAGCCTTCTCTGATTACCCTATGTAATAATGTTTTCTTTTCCAGGCACTCTATCACATTTCCCCACTTAATTTTTTTCATTGTTCTCCTTGCTTTCCTCCATTCTCTCTTGTGTAATGTATGTTCACTGCATTAGGATGTAAGTTCAATAACAGCAGGAATTTTGTCTGCCATGCTGCGCCCTCTGATTTTTAAAAGATGCCTCTCTAGGTAGGGAAAGTGCTGAGAGCAAGAGCTGACGAACTTAGAATAGTTACTGGCATATATAGGGGTCAATAAATAGTTATATACTACGGGAACATACATTCTTTCTATTAAGTC